ATTTTTTTCAATTTAAAATAAATTAAAAGCATCCCCCCCCCCCCCCGCACCAAATCTATACTCCTTTTACATTGTTCCAATAATTCCTTATCAGAAGCAACTGTATGCTGTAGAATCCTTCTTCCACCCTGACAGAAATGATTCAAATCTATCTGCAATTGTCCAGAGCTATTCTGGGCAGTTTATTACCATAACTGCACACACTGCATGTATTTGATTGTTCTTGGGTTATTTAATCAGTTCCTCACCATTTGAAGAGTTAACAAGAGAAATAGTAGAGGAGGAAAAGCCACAGGTTTCTCCTTGAATTCTAATTGTGGAGGCCTTAAAAAGCTTAACAGCATCCTGGGAAAGTGTCCTTGTTAAATGGATTCTGTCAGCCAACTGGCTGGTTTTAAATATTAAGTAACCAGCTCTCACTGATAGCACTGTTTAGGGGGTGGGGGGCTGAACTGCTTTTTTTTTTCAGGGGAGAACACAGTTATTCTTATATAATTTTCAACTAAATGATAATGGCTGAAATTTGTTCATATTGATGATAAAAGAGATTTAAAAGCTAAAAACATATAACCTGCTTACTTACACATAGTTGAAAATCAGCTTTCAGTTTTGGGTCTGCTTTGAGATGTGCAACATGCTGAGAAAAACATAAACACAAGGAAATGTCTTCACGTGTTTCTAGACATATTTCAGTTTAGTTTAGTCATTTTGTGAATCTTTCCTTTAGAGGATTTGATTGAGCAACAAAAAGAACTGGACATGCAACAAGCAAAATTTGAAAGGCTAAAGGAAAAAAAAAAAAAATCTGTTTTTTTTTTTGTTTTTTTTAAGCTTTGCCAGCACATGTCTGAGGTTGGATATTAAAAATTGAGAGACACAAATGCCTTTTCACATGATAAATATTAAACTAGCTGTTTCTCTTACCTCTGAATCTCTCATAGTATATCTACAGTGTAACATATTCATGCACAGCTAAGTAAAAGTGCTTGTACTTGCAACTGACGAGTTCGGATTTCTTTTTCCTCATCTCAGTTGATGCTGTTTGAAAAACAGAGCGCGTTATGCGATGCTTTCAAACGAGGAAAGCTGCTGAGGTTCTAATCAGACTTGAACATTTGTTTACCCTGTGGCTTGGAGCGCATGCAACTTGCCAGCAGCCATTAAGGTCAGCATGACATGACTTTTAGCTATTTTAATGGGGCAATTGAAGCTGAGGGCAGTCAGTGAATATTTGAGTGTCAAACAAACAAGAAATAAAAGAACAGGAGCAGCTCTTAAAAATAGATCCCTTATCTACCTTACAGCTCTAATGAGTGAACAGGTCCAACCGCTATAAAACACTAAAGTGTTCAATTGGAAAATATCCTGTTGTGTTTGTACTGCTCTGCTTGTTTACAACGGTTTAATGCCCAATGAAAGAAAAGTCCAAAAAGATTATCTATTAGTTGTCATGAGTCAGTACTTTGTAGAACCGCACTTAGCTGCAATCACAACTATAAGTCTTTTAGGAAATGTCTCCACCAGTCCCACACACATCTAGAGAGAACATTTTAGGCCAATTCTTCTCAGGAAATATTGGACAGCAAAGATCTCTGAATATATTGACATAGGCCCTTGTTTCTCTGGCTGTATGTCTGGGGTCCTTGCCCTGCCTAAATATGAAGTTCTGCTCCAATTTCAAGTCATGAAACAGCCTCTTACCAGCTTTATTGGAATATTGCCTTTTGTTTTGCTCCATCCTTCTTCCTTAGATCTCCGTAACGTTTGTCCTGCAGATAGAGAAGCAGACCTTTGACTCGGTTACCTTCCTGTCCATTCCAGACCCCGAGGACCTACTGCGCCGCTAACACAGAAGATCTGGAGACTGTTATTGATCACATCCAGAAAACCTATGAAGCGGCTCCAATGATGGCTGCTGGTGTATCCATGGGAGGGTAAAGAAACATTCGAGCGCCGGTAGACAGGAAAAAAAAAAACATTTCAGTGATGATTTTAGACACTTTAGTGCTTTAAATTGTTTGTCTCAGTGTTTAGTGCTGCGTGGCAACGCTAATCACTAATCCCATAAATTGAGGGGTTGCTTTGAAATAGAATCCCTGTTTTCCTTCAGATCTCACTCTTTCTGCTTCCAGGATGATGCTGGCCAACTACCTGGGTCGTAAGGGCCGGAAAACCTGCCTGAAAGGGGTCATAGTCTTCTCAGCAGGCTGGGACGTGTTTGAGTGCACCGCGTCACTGGAAAAACCCCTGGACCGTTTCCTCTTCAACTCCTACCTCACCAGCTGCCTACAAGCTTCTGTGCACAGGTCAGTTGGGGCCAGAGCAGGATTAACACAAGCCATTAACACACCGCAGAAATGCTGCTCCCAAAATACTCTCACAAACAAGCATTTTTAAATGTTTGGCTGCATAAAAAATATATTACATATTATACTAGCCTCTGAAGAACATTAACAGAACCTGCAAATCATTTACAGTCATGATTGTGACGTTGTTGTGAGTGGAATGAGTTGATGGTAAACAAGTTCATGAAAAAAAAATGATTAAACAAAAACTTACTTAAAATAACAAGAAGAACAAAGGGAGCAGGAACAAATGGTGACCAGGTGGATGAGTGAGTGGAGCTTTAAAAACAGAGAAGCTTGATCGCCAACAAGGAACAGGTGGCTGATCGCTAACAGGGTGCGGATGAGTGAGTGGACATCCAGTAGGTGGCGGTAATGCAACTAAATGTTGATTGCCGACTGCCATTAAGAAGAAGAAGATCTAATAGCTCTGAAGAATAACAGGAGCAAGGTTGATCCAGTCAAATAAGAATAACTAAGGCAAAGCAAACAAATTACATTACAACACAGAAAAAAGCAAAAACAGCCAAAAGTCTTGACAATAAACAACAAAAATGCAGAACTTTTCAGACTACACTGAGACATTTACCAGAAGGTTTACTGAATATTTTTCTGCAATTATTAAATCAGAAATCTGGAACAAAAAGTCAAAAGTTCTCTGAGATTAAGCTAAAAACAAGAAGCTAGTTATGGGAATAATATGTTTTAATTTCTGGACGTATGCTATTGTTTCACACTCACTGGACAAGAAATAATGTCAGGTTGGTCAGTAAAGATCAAATGGAGAGCAGGAAAAGTTACAGAAATTGCACATATCCTGCTGATTTTACATCCTGCTGATTTTAATGATTGCATGCAGAGAGGGAGAATGTAGGTGCCCAGCAGTCCCTGGTGGAGAGGTCACAGAGGAAAAACTGTGACTCCGAACATGTCAGAAATGTCTCCACAAACATCCTTTCTTTTCCATTTTAATCTCAGAGGACTTCTGAAATTTTATCACAAATTTCTGACAGAGTTTTGAGGGAGTTTTTTTTCTCCATAAATCCCCACTTAGTCCTCCTATATTTATGCTCAGAAATTTAATCAAAGAGATTTTGTCTTTGTTATCCCAATTTAAACATGTTCCAACATGAAGGAATTAAAAATGTTTTACATTAAAATATCTTAAACAATTATCAGACTTTCTGTCATTTTTCTCTGAAATATACCCCTTTCCTTTTGTCTTTGGTGTGAAATGAACTTAGAATGGTTTTGTAACTTCTAGATAAAAATCATATTAGCTCTGTAGAGGTAGGGTCAGTTTGACCAATGTTCCTCCCTGCAGACACAGACCAGTGCTTGAAAAGTGCTACGACATTGACCATGTCATGAAGGTAGGACCATGTCTGTCATGTTAAATCATGTGGAGCCATTTCTTAAACATAAGCCGGACTGAGTAGTTTTACCTGCTCTGTACAGGCAAAGACTATCCGAGAGTTTGATGAGAGGTTCACCTCCATCATGTTCGGATATCCTACTAATGACGACTACTACCGCGATGCCAGTCCTGTGCACAAGCTGAAATCTGTGCAGGTGCCAATGCTGTGTCTGAACGCTGCTGATGACGTCTTTTCTCCATCTCACGGTGAGCTACAGTAGTTTTCTTAATTGCACAATTACACATAAATAGCTTTGTGTTGGTGTAGGTGTGATATGCACCTGACGCTAGTATTGCCCCAACATCCCAGAAATGGCATTTATGCTAATCAGACTCACATGAACTGAAACTGGTAGACTCACATCATGCGAAACCACAGGAAAGAGGGCATTGAATCCATTGTTTTGTTTGCAGCCATTCCAGTGGAGGCGGTGAAGCAGAACCCTAACTTGGCCTTGCTTATAACCTGCCATGGAGGCCACATTGGCTTCCTGGAGGGTCTGTGGCCACGACAGAGCACTTACATGGACCGAGTCTTCAAGCAGTTCGCGAAGGCCGTCATTGAAGAAGGCGGCCGGCTTAAAGACCTCTCCTGATAAGACAACTTAGAGTGGTCCTCTCGTTTCATCGTCACCCATGTTTTTTTTTCACTACATTCCATCGTTTTCTTCTTCCATTTCCATCCTTTTTATTGTTCATTCCCAGCTCTCTATAATTCCTTCCTTCCTTAACACCAAATGTTATTCAACTTTATTGTTTTTAGCTTTCTTGCCTTGTCTTGATGCTATCTTTGCCTTACATTGATCCGTTCTATTCCTCCCACTGCCGCAGGCAAAAAAAAAAAAAACATCGTTCTTTCTTATTTAAAGGGCATATTATTAAATGCAGTTCTTATGTTGCGTTCAGATTCAGATCATTTTTACTCTCTAACCGTAAACTCAAAGATAGGCATAGCTGCTCATGTCAGTGCTGAAAGGTTTAATATTTCTCATATTGTTCAGCCTAAGAATTTGGTGGTAACCCCGTGCTATTTATCTTTTTTTCCCCCCATCAAGTTAACTCAAGTACTGTCTGACTTATGTAACCTTACGTAGTTTTTAGCACTTACATCAGTAGGATTGTAGCCCTCAGGGATTTCCTTTCTTTTTTCTCTCTTGTTCCTCTCTTTTCTTGTGAAATGTCACTTTTGTCAATGTGTTCTCCTTCATTTTGCGTCGTACTCCACCTTTTAAAAGTAGATGTTAATTAGCTGTTAACAAAACATAATGTTGTTTCTTTTGAGTTCTAACTGGACGCGTGAATTATGCTTGTATGCTTTCTTTTAGAGAGGTCAGAAAGTTGATTCCATGTCCTATTAAATGTGAAGCTGCTGTCAGGAGACATTTTGCTATAAGGAATGAAAGCAGAAAGAAGAAATCAAATATAGATGTACACACCTGTGAAATATTTGGTATCTTTAGATACATATATTTTGGCAGTGAAAGGGGGAGTATTTGAGTGATTCTAAATTTTGAAGACATAAACAGATTCTGTACATTTGCTTGGCCTTTTGTCTTATTGGTTTCAAGGATAAAATTATTAGGATTTATTGTTTTTAATTTATACAAGGATGCCTTTTTGGAGCCATTTCTGTATCTTGACTTGTTCTATTCCGTTCTCTTTTTTTTTTTTTTGATGATGATAAAAGATACACGCTTAAACCCAAAGAGACCGAGGAGAGATAACACTTTGCTTTCAGTTTGCATGCTAATTGACAGCTGGCTGTAGCTTCACATTTAAACAAACATGCAGTGTACCGATGACAATGACAATCTACTGATGCGATTTTGTTTCATCTGTGGGTATATTCTACATGCACTTTTATTTTAAGTTCTTTTACTTTCACGCATACCAAATAGTTTTACAAATGGAGAATATGGAGAAAATCTGATCCATGACAAGGAATGTAAAGTTGCACTATTTAGTTGGTACTACCATGCCTCTAACTGTCTAACGCAAGGCACTTATTTCCTCAGAGCTATGACAGTGAAAATCCTAAAGACTCAATAGAGTAGAGTGCGAATGCCATGAAATTTATTTTGTGAAAATGTTGGTTATTTATGTGGCTCTCTGGGCGCTTTATACAGCTTGAGTTAAATGAAGTAAAATGTGAGGACGTGGTTTGCACATTGGCTGTCTGAAGTGGTGTTTGCTGCTTTAAAGGATGTGTAGCTTGTATTGTTTCCAGCCACTTTTGCTTTCCTTTGCCAACAATGATCAACGGGCTGGCTACCATTAATGAGTTGGCATGGAGGAACTGAACACTTATGACTGGTGGCCAGAATTTCAGTAACAAAATGCATGAAGATAAATTGACTACGTTTTCCCGTTGAATTTTACTGTTCAGTTGTTTTGCAAAATTAGCGCGTGTTTCTTCATCATCACGTCCTGTAACTGTAGCACTGAAGGCAAGTTTGTTTGTCTTTTTCCTTTTCATTTATACTGCACTTAATTTTGTACGGCACACAAAAGAAGACGAGTAAACATTTGTTTAAACTGTGCAGCAATAAGATTTTAAATATAAAATCTGTCTATAGCATAAGTACTACTGTATTGACATTACCATCTTTAGTGTATTATGCTGTATTTATTGAATTATTAAACAAAGTCTAGGTCAATTTGCCTCCTGTTTCCTGTGCTTTTGATTGCTGAAAGCATTTTCTCTGCAATGTGGGTGGTAATCTTTCTGCGGTGGAATATAAACAATAACCACGCACCGTCCACAATTACAAAGTGAAAGACTTCCTCTCTTTTTCCACATAAGCCATCTCAAAATCACACTGAGAGCAAGGCATTTGACAGTCTGCCATTGGAGTGGGTTTACTGCAGCATTAGTGTGTGACTGCAGGGTCTCGCATCACAACATTAGCTTTCGGTCTCTGGAATTGACTCAATCCACGCTGGCTGGCTTAGCAGCTGATAGGATATGCATCACTGCAGTGGTGGATGTTATCCACAAAAGGCTAACTGTAATCCTGCAGTACTCTACTTACCTAAAGTGCAATCCCCCAATAAGTCCACTGACAGAATTTGGTTTTTAGCTAGATGGTGTAGGGAAGCATTTGGCTGAATTGACTTGAGTGAATTTGTTTTACCCTGAGGATAAAACATAATAATAATCTTGCTATTTGGTTTATGCACTACATCTCTACTGGTAGGGTTCATTACATTTACAAAGCATATTTGCTGTGTTCTTTGCTATGAAGTTATTACTGTTTTTTTTTTTGGCTTACTCTGTACAAAGCTGCAGTATGTGCTAATGTCATGAAACACTGGGGCTTACATAAGTCTTTCTTATCACACTAGCATTTAATACTACAACCATGCTTATGACCAAGAAAATAGCTGTGACCTGACTATTGACTGATGGTGTCGCATTCTGCTCAAATGCAATGCTATGAACAACTAATCATAAGACCCATTAAATTCAGCCACCCATATTTAACCAGTTAATACAATAATATTTGTTCTGCTTTCTGTGGAAAGCCCGCTTTCTTCATGATTCATGATCATCCTACAGAAGCTTATGCTGAATCTTTGCTTGGATTACCTTATTTTTGTTTTATGGTAACACAAAGCTACTCTTAAATCTAACAGAAAACAGCTTATGTTTGCTTAAGTGAATCTATTAGAAACAGGAACAAGACTGGAGTGTGATTAGTGTCTTTAAAGTGAAGTAGTTTAGCAAAAAATGTTGAACATCATCCATGAAATAAAAATACTTGCACATTTAATACATTCTCTAAGTATTTAGATGTAAAACAGTTTGAAAGTGTCAGGGTTCTTCTTTCTATTACTATTTAAGAAGCATCTGAAATCTAACATCTCTTACAATTAACCACTTCTTTAGCTTTTTGTCTTATAAGCACAATATAAAATGAGCAGAAACTAAAGTGCAAGGCACTTATTACTGGCCTGTCTTTGTCATCCTAATCTGTCAGGTGCGGGCTGAAAATAGTCATGTGTCATATCGCACTGGAGCTGTAGGTAGATGGAATGTGCTCTAATATTATCTCACAGGAGCTGAAATAGTACTGTCCCTGGACTGGCAATGCTCCTATGCCCTTGCAGCACTCCGAGAGAAGATTCCAGCAGACATTAAGAGACCATTTCTCTTATGTATGATTAGTGGGATTACTGTGCATGGACACAGTTTATCTGGAGATGTGTTGAGGAAAGAAAAGTCGGCGAAAGAGTTTCAGACTGAATAGGTGTGTATATTTAAACGCAAACTAAACTTAGATCCTAAAATGAACTTTGACAACGCTGCTGATACTTTGAACTTTAAATCCCATCAGCACTAAATTGGTGTGTCTGAAGCCCAACTAAGTAAAATGCATTGGAAATCGAAACTTAAAAAAAAAAAAAGAAAGATCCTCAAAGTTTGTCCTTACGTAAATATTAGGAAGTGAAAACAGTCATTTGATGCTGATTTCCATGTTTTGTACTTACTTTTACACTTTAATCCCTTTCACAGATTTGCTCCCAAATTTTGGCTCTTTTAATATTCCTGCTACTTCAACATCTGGGTCTACTTCAGATCTTGCATTATTCAGACAACATTTTCAGGGCAAAATGTTGTACCGTTCTTATCCTGTTTGAACTGATTTAATGTTAAACTTGCTAGAAAGCTAAGTTCCTAAACTTTTAGGACGTCATTGACAATAAACTGAAGATTTTAGCTGTGATTGGCAGCTAAGATGTTTAAACGTTAACATGGTAGATCAGACTGAAAACATTATTTTTGAGTAGTGTTTTATCTTTGAGACAAATTTTAGTATTGTCTTTTTGACATGGGAGGAATAACAGATGAGTAAAAAAAAGCCAAATAATTAGTTAAGCCTAAGCTTATGAATATTTTTGAAATTTGGTCGTTTACACCAAATTTGATCCAAATATATGCATTGTTACACCAACTAATTTAATTTTCTAAATCCTACATTTATTTTATTAGAGTGGAATTCATGAGAAAAGTCAAGCAATAGCAAAAGGAAAAACTCAGAAGTCATTTTTATTACATTCATAATTTTCAACAACAATAGGACTCTACTGTTATGTTATTCACAGCCAGCAATCACAATGGTAAACATGAGGTAGATCAACCAGGCACCAAGGCTACCACTGAGCTGCACAAGACATCGAGACACATTTCAGCGAAGATTGTGAGAGCAAAGTTGCATATTAAGTATTAAATTATTTAAAAAAGAAAAGGAAAGAAAGAAAAAAGAAAGAAAGAAAAAAATAATAATGCTATGGACCGAGTCTTATGTGTGGAATATTTCTGAGGGAGCAGTTGTTTGCTGTATATTATTCAACTGGTAACTTGAATCGTGCAAGTTCACATCTCCTACCCTCCAACAACATTCAGTATATCTAAAACAACATCCATTTGGGTTCCTGTGCAATGCCTTCACAGATGTTTTTGAAGAGGGCAGTGGCCCCCCCGCCTCAGAATGCAATCAAATATCTCACTTGAACATGATTATCAGTCCAAAATACTAGTTAAATAAATAAAGACAAAGAAAAAGCTCCTCTATGGACCTGATTTCCATTTGTTGATGATAACTGAACGAATGGACACAAAGGGATACAAACATATTTTCATATATATATCTAGGTAGATTTCTTCAATGTTGCCTTTTTGCAACATAAAATGCAGAAAGACACAACCAAAATACACTGGCAAAGAGTATCACAAGGCTAAAACATAACATCATAAACCGTCAGTCGGTAAGGGGATGACATAATATATTAATAATGTAAACAAAGATTTCAACAGTACAGTAGTTCAAATTCTAATCGTTCCTTCTTACTTTCAAACATTTCTTTGACTTGTATTTTTTATTTTATTTTTTTCTTCATTCTGATTGGTCATCATGACAGATTATTTGTGGCTGTGTAAAACAATTAAGGCATATTCTTATGACAACCCTGTGGAGAAATACACAAAAACACTTTTCAAGTATGCTTCTTTTTTAACAGTGTGACACCTTATTCTTCCTCTGATTACCCTTCCTATCAATTGCGGGGGATCAGCTCAAGCTATGCAAACAGCGAAGAAGCCAACTGCCTCTAAACACCACAACAGGAGCAGTCCTAGGCACAGTTAGAAGCAAAATAAAAGGCAGTGACGGAGCTTGATTATGACATTTTATTTCTCTGACCGTTCAGGATTTGAGTCAGCAAATGTCGAAATGCAAATTATTTACTCTAACACATGGGCTGCTCTTTCTGATTGGCATTACACATACGCAGATACACTTTTTTACATTCTTTAATAGTCGTAGCTTGTAAACTCCCTTAGCTGTGACGACAGAAATTAAGTCATTTGGAAAGTACGACAGCACTCACGGCTTCTTCTTGGAAAGATTATCAATGCCACATTCATGCTTTAGAGGCACAGTAGAAAAAGAAGAAAAAAACGTAAATCTGCTAGATTAATAGTTGCTTACTGGTCAAATCCCATTGGTAAAAGAAAAGCATCAGCTGCTAATAATGTTGGAAATTGCTTGTGACGCAGCCTCTGTTGTGATATCACTTAGCTATGAAGCGTTAACGAGCTTCTTGGAGTTTCAAAGGTTGAACTGGAAAGCAAATGGAGAAGGCAAGGTGCAGCTGAGTCTTTGGTGCCAAC